GTGATAATAGTAAACAGCCTTGACTCCTGTAATCACTCTCTATGTTTTTTGTAATGAATCCCTTTACACATTGCATTTTCATATAGCAGCTGTTGAAAGAGCTGGTACTTCTATTCGATTGTTGAATTTTTCGAATTTAGTAACTCAGTGTATCACAAGTGAACCGTGTAGAATAACTTCACTCTGATCAACTAAATAGTTAGTTTGTGAGATTTCAACTATAAGCAAAGTCTCTTATTGATACAGAATGTTCATTCACAGCAGTGATGTTACTGTACACACGCTAAACAGACTAGGCCGAATGAGATTTTAGCATAACCAGTTCTCATACATCATGAAATCGCATACAGCTGCAGTTTTAGATAGATTACCGAAACATTCCATTTGAATCTCATTTTGAACAAACTTATTACTAAACCTCTTCGATGAATATTTTCTCAAAGGTCATTGTCAAAGCTCATGAATGACAAAGGTGACCAACACAAAATGGACACTGGTTGGTGGGTGATACAGGTATGTGAAGTTACTGAATGCACCTTAATCTTAATAAACAATCCCCTTGACAATTAAATGTGTGAATAAAACTTCGTTTCATCAAATGACGCTTAGATATTTACAGAGTGTTTGTTGCCTTTATTCTTATCAATTTATTCAGCTTGAGTTCATCGATTTCAATTGGAAAGAAATTTTCATTTTCGCATTTTGCGTTTCTCTTATTCCCCGTCTATCTGACATGTTGATCAAGGCAGATAAGTTAAAACAACCAACGACAAAAATTATTGAAGCGAATGTGTAAGCTACAATTTACAAATATTCTAAAGTATAATTCTGGTTATGTTTTAGATGAGATGATGTGAAATCACCATTATAAAGCTAAATTCTGAAATAATCGAGAAGATTTTTAGGTCAGGTGGATGATATTGAATTAGTTGTGTTCTCTGAAGAGCTGGTTTATTTATTGTCCAAGCTTTTATCATCCCCCTTCTAGACAACATCCCTTCAGTGCAGGTTTTAGTATTAAATGAGCTCACTTAAATTCGCCATGAACGACGACTTAATTGTATCTCTCGACAGACAACCACTGTCAAATATCCAGATCGCTGAGATCCTGGACCTATCTCTGGTTTCAGAAGATTAACCCTAATACTCAGTACACTATTCACTGTCATCGACGTGGAACAACAGTACACAGTTGCTCAACATGATTGTTTGTTCTTCGAGCAATGAAGAAACAGATCTACAGTGGTTAATCAGTGCTGAAGTCTGTAAATAAACGTTATTATAATATACAACAATACTTCTGATAGTATTTCTCCAATCTTCTGCCAACCAGTATACGATTAGGCAGTGAAAACCTTCTTGTCACCCGGCATTGGAGACCAGCTCGAATAAACAAACTATTCAATGTTTGCTAATATTGACAACCACTGTCATAACTGCTTGTTCATTTATGTCCCTATTGATCATTTTTGTTGACTTGGAATACAAACTTTCTTTTCATGTGAACTGGATTAAACATAACATCAGTGGTCCAAGCGGGATTCCCCTTCGAATCCGAATCCAAGAACACCAATTGCCTGTAAAAAGACATTGTATATATATTTTCTTTCATATCAGTGCATGTAGATAATTATGGACACCAATTTGATCAGGATAATGTAGAAATTTTAAATAGAGGAAACAGGGAATTTCTAGAATCTTGGTATTTGCGTGAATCAGCCAGTGATTAACAAACACATTAACATAGACCAAATTTACCACCAACTAATAAAAAGTAAATCACATGTGAAGAAAGTTAAAATTCTGAGACAATGAAAATGATCAGTAGAGACGTAAATTAACAACTAGTCACGACTATGTTCGCCAGGAGAAACAATCATGTAATCATTCATGGAGAATTTAAATAAGTCCATTTTATACTGAAACCTGCGCTGAAGGAAGATGTTGTCTAGAAGGGAGACAAGGAGAGCTTGGCAATTCAATCAACCAGTTCCTCAGATAACACAACTAATTCAAATTTAATTTCCACTGGTGCTTTGGCTCCACTAGTAGTCATAAATATTTAGGGCGTTTACTAAAGATTTTGAACTACCTTTTATCATAGTAGAATGTAAAGTATATGAGTTGAAATATCAGCCTTGTAACTAAGTACTCAAATGAAAACAACTTCCTCAGACTAGTTAAAATTATTTTATTCGTCCATTACACTTTCTTTTTCGAGTTTGACCACGGATTGATATCAGTTACAGAATAAAAGAGCATCAACAGGGAGTACTGGACAGCTGTTTCGTTCTAGTTTGGGACTCATCTCCATTACGCATCCACTGCCAGGGGGCAAATCTAGGACCTTCCGGTTACAAGGCAAGCTCGTATACCATTCAGCCACTGGGACCTGGCATCTCAATGGCCACCCCATGAATTCTAACTTCTACCAATTCGTGATTTTTAGTGCATTCTACTGCGTTTCATGTGAATCAGAGAGCTAAAGTCTGTAGAGGTATTATTACTACAAATATTCTCCATTTTACACTGAATTTCGACCCCTTGCTGGATTGTCGAATGTCTATAAAACTTTTGCTGTGGTCATACTGATAAAGAATCCGACACTAGTATGAAACAGCAGCTCCTTTTTGTTTTCACTGGCTTTCTAACTGGTAACAATGCGTGATTTAACTTGAAGTCACTCAGATAAATTAGTTCATCATATCAGAACGAGCGGAGAAAATTCCAACTGCATAACAGAGTTCAATCCAATAATTTTTGCTGTGCACCATACCCATCCATTCAATGTTAAAATGCATTACTGGTATTTGCAATTTTTCCAGCTCACTAATTCCAGAACAGAACAACAAATATAAATACACATGAATCTGTAATTTTGCATATAATTTTGACCTGTCACTATGAATTCGAGATCATTGATAAGTGTTGTAGTAAATGACACAGTTAGTTAACTGCCTCGATAATAATAATAATAATAATAATATCAATAGTCATACTAATAAAAATAATCACGTGAAAGCATTCCAGAAAGCCGAACATACGAATGATCCCTATGACAGAGCTATTAGCGTTGAGTATTTCGTATTCATTTGAAAATGTACTCACTCGACACATGTAAGCAAAAGAATAATATAAGAGGCATAGTAATCTAGACATTAAATCTGTTCAGCTACATCGAAACTGTATAAAATCATAGTGTGTATAATACTGAGGATACGAGAAATCCAATGATGAACATTCATTCACACAAGTGTAGGAAATAAATTATAACGATGGAGTATAATAACAAAAATCACTGAGTCTTCTTAATTGAAAATACTCTAAGCCTCTATGCTGAATGCTATATGCTGTATGCTCTATGCCGTATGCTCCATGTTGTATGCGTGGAGCTGACAACAGTGTATGACATCTGGGAATTTAATAACCTCTGGATTGCTAAGTCAGCTTATTTTTAAATCTAAAAGACTGACAGATGTTATGGCTTTTCACTTTGATTCCAAGTATCGTTCAGTCACTTTTCATCTACAATCACCTCTCACTTTGAAGAATTCCTTGTTCGATAATATTCTCGTGTATCATATCTAAGTAGGATATTAATATGTATGAATGCCTATACTCAAATACTGGTTGGTAGAGATTTGATTGACTGGTTACAGGATTTCATCATGAGCTAACATCGGTTAGAGGACCATTGGAAACCAACAGGTAGTAATGGACAGTTGTCTCGTCAGCTTAGTTTGGGATTCTTCAGCAGTACGTACCCACATACAGGATCGCAACACAAGACCTAATCGTTACAAGAGAAGGTCGTAGACCATTGAGTCACTGGGATACAATCCAAAGGCCCATGAATTCAAACTTAGAAATACTTGCCGAAGAGATTGACTAGTGGTCCTGCTATCTCGTGAATTGGCAGAAGTTAGAATTCATGGACCACTGGATCGATTCCCAGTATCTTAATGGTCTACGAGCTGGCTAGTTTTATGACCAGAAGGTCCTGGGTTCGTAACCCAGTGGGTGAGTACTGATGAAGAGTCCCAAACTAGGTTGACGAAACAGCTGGCCGTCCATTACTCCTTCTTGGTTTTCCAAAGGTCCTGTAACCGATGGCAGCTCTTGATGAAATCCTGTAACCAATGCTTATACCTTTAAATCAGATAGTCAACAAAAGTGCAGACTTTGGAATCTTACGCTTCCATGCACGTTTAAAATGATGTATGTCAACTGTACACACACTTGAACGTGTATAACTAATGCGCTCCTAGCCAAGGAAGGTATCATCAACGCCAAGTTAACAAACAAAAACTCTCATCTAGATGCAGGTAACGTTCACCGAGTGAAACAATTTACAGAAATATTTGCAGACAAATGATTCCTTTTGAAACATGCTAAAAGATTCCATTAATTTCACTTCTTTCTTCAATTATGCTTCTATACATAAAAAATTGTTCACAAAATTAGGAAATATTTTGTGTGTATCTGTGGATAATATGAATAAAATTTAGGTGGGAATTGACAGAATTCGCAATAGACATGATAAACTAAAATCATGGATTTGATTCAACTGAGTGAGCTTCATTCAATTAACACGAATGTTGATTTCCATCAATCTATTGAATCTCAGCTGACCGTAGTCTGTCTGAAAAAAAGTCAAGATGTAAAATAGTAAACGCACATTTCTCTCCCAGAAGAATGCGAATAGCCTTTCCACGACGAAACCACACTACTGATTGAGCTACATACTGAGTAGTACATCCATAGTTTGGTGAAAATGTAAATGATAAGTTCCAGAATAAATGATTCACTTATTTCTCGACAAGTCTGAATATAATTATTCATAAAATAAATGAAAGTTAATAATTTACAAGTATATTGCCAACAATAGAAATTTCAATAAAATAAATAGCAAAAGGAATAAAACGTAATAATACTACTTATTTGAATGAAATGACTTAATCATTTTTCTTCTAATTTAATATTCTTCATTGTGTTACTTTTTAAAAAGCAGTTGAATCATTGTCTGAACTTTCAACAACACTAACTGTCCCTTCAGGAGAATGCGGATTGGCTTTTGTGGATGGGTTAATTTTACAATGTACTGAAAAGTAATTTGATTTATTTTCATTGTCATCAGAATCGTTACGTTGTATCCGAATTGGTATTTCACGGCATCGATTAGCAAATTTATGAGGGATATCTGAAGAAGCAGCTGGTGACTTTATTTCACATAATATCGGAGATGATGGTGAACGGGAGTCTGTGGTCTTCTTGATATTAGTGTGTTTTGTACGTATTGTTTTGTGTGAAACAACAATCTGCTTATAATTTGGTTGGTAGTAATAAATAGCTTCTTCCGTTTCTTGTTGTTGGTCTGTTGGGTCCTGATTCTCATTCGGATAGCTGAAAACTCTTTCCATTTTGGAGCGTTTTGTTTTTGTTAGATTTGGTGGATTTACAGGTAACATTAAAGTTTCGCAGTAGGGGCACTGGTGCAGAAGAGATCCTTCACTTCGATGTCTTGACAGCCTAATATTGAGAAGGAAGAAATTCGTAGACAGCAAATGAAATGTTACCGTTATCAACTGAAAAAATCACAGTGTAGAATTTCATAAGCATCATGGTAACATGAGTATTTGAGAAGCATAAGTTCAATCTCTAAATAGTGCCAAAGAAACTAGGCGTATTAATATTACAGAAGCTTCGACATGTCATTATTGTATCTAGCAGTGATGACAATCTTAGACATAATATAACTATGTCTCATGTTTAACTAGTGAGATGAAGAATTTAAGTGAAATAAACAATTAGGTTATTTATTGTATAATGGATTTGGGAAAACAATTCCGCGTTTAAAATAAATATTTGCAAAAAATCTCAGCGAAACTGAAACAAATTAAATAAACATTTGCAGAAAGCCGACACATTCGGAAAGATGCCTAGACTACTACTATTCAGCACATGCTTTTACCACCAAAGTAACTGTGGTCAAGAATCTGAATAACAGAGCGAAACGTCTAATTACTGAGGAGGAAGAGATTAGTAAGGAACTAAAATCGGTTCATTCCACTCTTAAATCAAATAATCACCGCAAAGCCTTCATAGAAAAATATTTATAGTGTGAAGATAAGGATGAATCGAAATCTGTTGCTGCGAATTGGGTCAGCACAGTGGTGATTCCTTGCCGCAAAGAAACATCGGATGACTAGAGCTAATCTTTAACAATCATGACATAAGAGTGTATTTTCGTTTAACGGACACCTTACGCTCTTCACCGTTGAAGGTTAAGGATAAAATAGAAGAAGACAACTAACAGAATTGTGTGTACCAGATCAGTTGTGGGGGATTGTGACTCCGTATTTTTCAGGAGAAACTTTCAAACAGGTAAATGTAAGGGTAGAAGAGCATAAACAGTGTCTATAGATGGTTCCAAAGACCTCCACAGACTTAAAGAAGCTAGAAAACAGATTAGCTATTGCCCTGCACTCGATAAAAACCAGACACAAGATCGACTCTGATAGGACTAAAGTTCTACAGGAAGGTTTCGGTTTTTATAAAGAAAGACTGGCTGCAGGACACCTACATGTATGGGTGAACCTCAAAAGTTTGAACAGACGTGAAGGTGTGATCTGGTTAGCTGATCCATGCCAAATCCTGATTACTAATAAACAAAAAATGGATACGTCTCACTATCAATCATACTTGGTCTAAATTCTCTATAGTCTAATGGAGAGGCTAACAAATGATTTACAACTGTTTACCCATAGATACACCATTGTATACTGCATATACACATATTTTTCGTATTCAGTTATCTACAGCCATGAACTTTAGTCGAACGTAATCACTAAAATTCAGATGCAAAAGCATACAGTGTTTAACATAAGTAGACTAATATTTGTAAGTCTCACGTCAAATTTTGATCTCAGCTCATAAAATTTTGTTTATTATATTTTGATGCTTGATTCATAACTCATATGACTGGGCAATATTTTTAAAAACAAAACATGTCCTTTCTTTATAAACCTCTGTTTTTGTAATTTCGATTAGTTTCCCTGAAGATGTTGGGACCAGTTTGCCGAACGAAACGTTGGAATTACGCATTTCAACTTCGCTGAGATTTTGCAAATATAATTCTTACAAATTTCTGCTTCTCACTCGATGCCCAATTATTTTGGAACTATTCGGTCAAATCTTGATCATAAATCATATGAATGCCACGAATATCTGCTAAGGTTATACATATGAAAACCTTTATTGATTTCACGCAAACTACTTAAAACGTTGACAGTAGGACATAAACGTTTCGTAAAACGTTCCAGCGAAAATGGTTGAGAGAAAAGAAATAAAAATGCATAAAACACAATATATAATCCTGATGAATTCGAGAAGTATGTGTAAACGCAAGTCGAGACATTGCTCAAATACCTTTTATGGAGTCTGAATAAACGTATATTCGACCTGTAGACTTGGAGAAATCACTTCCTCATCTGACCAATTACAAGATTAGCCTCAAGGACACTTAAATATCGTGAAATCTTGTTACCCTCTTAGCCAACTTAGCAATATGCATCACCGATTTGGTGGAGACTATTTTAAAATTTCCAGATCTCAGAAGCCATAACAATAAATGGAATGATATTCGTCGACTGCTTGTGATTTAGAGATAAGAGATTTCGAACATCTCTTCATGCATAGTGATAATAATGTTAACTTCTAATTAATATCTACCCCAAACAGTGATTTCCAAGTACTTCAAGAATGAAAGAAAGTGGAATAAACTGTTGAATGAATCATACAGCTATAGACCGCGTATATATTTTTTTGGTGAGCGCCAGTTAGAATGAAAGGTTTGGCTTGATGCTGACCAACTCCAGCCATCTAACATAGATTGGAAATCAACCGCTAAAACAAGCTACAGAACTAACTAAAGTGATAGAATATATATGAGTCTTTACACGAGGTGGAGAAGGTAAAATGTAACTTCATCTGTAATAAAACATTGGATTACCTTGTTTGTGTACCTGATCCGACCATTTTGCGTGATATAGCACTTGAACACTTGTGACGTCTAACTGTCCATGGTTTTCCTCGTGAGTAAGTCTACAACAAATGCAAAGTTTAATTCACTTCAATAAAAAACTTTACATTCTAATCAAACTGCTGGCAGTTAACTGTATTCTGCAGTTGAGTTATGTTCAATGAGCAGGGTGCAATTTCAGTAATCCACTCAGAAAATTAGAATAAAGTGTCTTGATTGTCAAAACACAGTACCTCTTAGGAATACACCCTTCACGGCGTTTGCAATAGTTTGGACTCCTAACAGAGGATTTACTTCAAACAGTCATACTGACCAGATGGATGTCTCACCGATTTATTAATGAAGCGAAATCAAATTTAATTCACCGAAAATACCCATCTAGACATGAATGTAAGAACAAAACGTTCAGCGAAAAATCTCTTTTAGGAGAATCCATTCACTTAGCTGTACAGTGACCGATATCCTAAGGAGAAGAATATAGAATAATGAAGTCCTGAACAGAGCATTCTCTGCTTCCATATTATCATTGGTATTCTCAAGTCATCCATTGTTCCCCAACAACTTCAAAGATAAACTATCACATTTGACAACTTCTATGTGTATCTACCAATTTACTTGCTCATATGAAGCATGCGTGTTTTATCCAAAAGAGTTAAAGGACATCATCCCACTTGGCTAGGAAAAGGTAACAATGGATCAGTAAGGAGTGCTATAATTGGACATATATTCAACACTGGTCACTCATTATGCACGGAGAATCCGTTCAAAGTCATCTACAAAGTCAAAAGAAGCCTCCTGAAAACGGTAGCTAAGCTTCCGATTAGGCCTTAGCAATCTGGAGAGAAAACCCTGATTTACGCACGCAATAAACTTCTTCACACCCACCTTCTTCACATCGACTATAATTCTAAGTTCTACTACTTTGTTAATAATGCTTACTTTGAATTTTTGTATGACATTTTAGTGACTTCTATTTCTTAACTAACCCTTTATTTACTCCTTCTACCTATCGCATAATTTATTTTGGACATGTGTCTCCATGCTCTTTGATTAACGTCCTATTTTTCTGGGTGTCTTCGATATTGCGCGACCCTTGTCAATACTCACCAGCCTTCACTCCACCACCCGCCTTAGTTACAATCTGATTATTCACTGCACTTTTGAAACACGCTGATGACGTAAACAATAGACCGAACTAATTTTTCTTTTTGTTTTTTATTCCTAATGTACACACACACACAGGTCAGTCGGTTTTCGACATAGAGCTTCGCACATATGTGTGGCAGTTCAAGTCGACACACTCCATGTAGCACACAAAGCAAGAGAAGAAAGTAGAAGAAATGCATAATACAGACAGTAAAGAGAGGTGTAAAACAAAGGAATAGTAATGACGGAGAACAAAACAGTTTAATTGGAAATCATAAGACACAAGGAGTGGATGCATCTGCGCCACTGAGAACGATTTTGAGCCATGTCACCAATTGTTTCCAACCATTGGTTCTTACCGTCCCGAGGACCCCAACCAGTCAGGAAGTCTACATCTTCCTACGTCGCTTAGACTAACTGTTGTGGATTTCATTGACTGGTGCCATGTTTTCGTTTGACCGCCGCTAGCTCTTTTCCAGCCTGGCCCTATATCAGCTAACATTGCCCGTCGAGGAAGGCGATGACTAGGCATACGTAACACATGTCCCAACCATCTCAGTCGATGTAATTTCACAGTCTCGTCGACTGATTTCCCCGCCTTACCTAGCACTCGACGCCTAACCTCAATATTGCTCACCGTATTATACCACTTCACGCGGGAGATAGAACGCACACACACACACATGAAAATAATTATATATAAATGCGATTGTACATCAAAGTGAATGAATTCGCCGTTAAAAAGAGACTCTTCGCTGAACGTTTTGTTCTTAAAATCATATTTAAATTGATCTTCTAGAGGAGTGGCCTTAGTATTCTTTAGTCATAATGTGGTAGCTCTGAAGTATTAACAGCATCTGAAGCTGACGTATTGACAGTTAATAATTCAACAGTAATCTGTTCAAATTAGTGATATGTTTATCTGCAAATTAAAGCGTTATCTTGTCTACTTATAGAAAAATAACACAGTCGAATCTCTATTGCCGAATAGTATGATAAATAATCCTTTTATAGAGATGAGAAATTGTTAAATAAAAAAAGAACAATTGAAATTCGTTTCATAAAGAAAGAATGAAAACAAAAACCTAGATCATAAACAGCTACGCATAATGAGATCAATTGGCTGATGGTGATGCGCATTTCGTTCTATTTGGGACTCGTCAGTCAGCTGGTGGATGTACCTGCAATCCCCAGTGAATCAGTTAGTGCTAGTGTTCCCACCGAGGCTCGAACCCAGTGTCCATAGTTTCAAACTCCCAAGCATTATCCAATAGACCATTTGGGCCACGAGACCAACTGCCTATTGTGCAACGGTTCTGAGTAATTATTTGATTCAATTTTAGATTTTACCGTGGATTGACTGGAGGAGAATAAAGCATGGAATAGCAGTCAAACGTGTGCCAACGCTTCATCAACTTCGAAAAGGCCTTCGACGGACAGCGTTGACCAAGAAGTAATTTGGAAGCTACTTAAACACTACGGCGTGCAGTGCCCATGTCTTTATCAACTTCATACAACAGCTGGCCATATGACAAAGCCACGTGTCAGGTGATCCACGACGAAAAACTCAGAGAAGTCTTTGTATTGATGACAGGAATGAGACAAGACTGCCTGACTATTATCACCGATGATATTCTTAAATGTGGTGGACTGGATTATACGTCAGACTTTGAACAGGAGTGAGAAGACAGGAACACACTAAACTGACCGATAAGAAGACTCTAGAAGATCTGGATTTCGTAGATGACTTATATCTAATGTCATACAAACGCAAAGACTTACATGCAGGCACCTTAAAATCAACAAACTGGCTGAAGAAGCTGGCTGGCAGAGAAGACAGGACTCCAAGTGAACACGGAGAAGACGGAGGTGATAAAGATAACCAACCAACAACCAACGGCAGCAGCAACAACAACCAGCACCAATCACAATCAACGGAAGCGATTTGATAGAGGTTACTTCCTGCAGTCACTTATCTGGCCAGGAAGCATCGTTTCAACTACAGGCAGACAGCACGGATGAAGATGTCAAAGCCAGCCAGCCAGAATCGGAAAGGCAAGATACACCTTGATCAGAATGAAACCAGTTTGGAAATCTTCTGCTTCACTCAAGCAGCATAAACAGCAACATTCAAATTGTGTTCAACACAAATGTGAAGTCAATCAGCTCCTCTATGTGGTTTGTAAAACAGGATTTCCAACAAGACACTTCAGACTTCTACCAACAGCTTCCCACTTCGCTGCATACATTACTGAAGATCAAACGGCCGGCCAACCGGCTGACCTGCCAGAAAGAATTAGAAACAAGAAACTTTGGCTGGGAACAAACCAACAGGCGAGAGCCAATTGCTCAACACATATACAGAGGAAAATGCAGATGGATTGGACACATGCTAAGGAGGTGGTCTCATGATATCGCGTGCAATGCAGTCCATCGCTCAAATGGCAGGTGAATGGGAAGCGACGAGTAGGTTGTCAGCACGATAGTGACATGAGGGAGGTTGTGTATTGGGGAGGAGGAGATGAGAGATTATGGTCAATAGTGAAGTCAGCTAGCTGAAAGCAACAACAGAAGATAGAAGAAAGTGGAGATGTGTTGCTGAAGCCCTATGTTCCACTCGGGAATAATAATAATAATATCGTAAATATTGACACCAGTCCGCTAACTCCGGTTACATAAGATTGAATCCATTTCAAATCAAGTCACACTACTAAATTAATTAAAGATATCCGTCTCTTCTACATACTGAGAGTAAACTATTTTGAAATGCAAATAAGATTAATCCTTCTGTTGGAGTGATGGAGTAAAGATTAAGGAAGGGATCAGTCCGAAGAAAGCATGCTGATATTATTTAAAAGGCTTTAATTTAACTAATATTTCCATATTAAGGAAGCTAACTCATATAAATCGACGTATGAACAAATGCAGCTATACATAGTTATCATAATTATAATCTCCCAAATATATTATCAAAATAATTAAACTTACTGCATTATAATTGTTAGTTTGTAAAAATTCAGATTTATGTTTAGGATACTTCACTAGAAAATTGTCTTCACCTCCACGAATAATCGGTGCACAACACATACGGCAGGTTAACAACGTTTGACCATTTTGACTAATTAAATTAGGTTCAATTTGTGACAGTGGAGCACTGATTGAACGAATAAGTGATGATCTTTTATTCTCCGGTGTTTGTGTTTCAGAATGACAGTGTTCCCTTGACGCTCGTACACTACTACTATATCGATCGTAATCAAAGTCTTCTTGATGGTATGTAGTATATTCTGGTTCACTGGATGGACTGGCATGCCGTCTAGGACAATAAAGATTACAGATAGATAAATTTAGTTAATAGATAAGTAATACTGATGTTTAATTTAAAAAAATTAGTCCCTTTTATAAATTTGGATAGTGTTGTTTTTAGAAGACGGAGATTATCTGAAAAGGTATGTGATGTATTTGTGCTAAACATTTCGAACAATCTGATCACACATTTAAGTCCAGTACACAATGAATTATGTAAGTTTACTTTGAAAGATACATTTGAACTTGTTGACTGCCTTGTAGATATAAACATAAAAGATAGGAGAATGTATTCATTTGACGTTAATTCTTTGTTTGCTAATGTACCCTTGACTAAGACTGTTGATATGCTTTGTGACTATATATCTTCGAGTTGTTTTTCATTCCGTTTTCCTTCAACTTATTTGAAAGATTTATTACTATTATGTACTGACAACGTCCATTTCACATTTGAATGTGAACATTTTCGACAAGTGGATGGCGTTGCTATGGGGAGTCCAATAGGACCTTTGTTAGCGGATGTTTACATGTCTTATTTTGAGAACTTGTCCCTTGATTTAATTTCTAAATTGCCTTTCTATAGGAGATGTACAGATCGTATCATTTTAATATATGACGATCATGAAGATGCGAGTCGTCTATCTGATAGACTTAACTCTGCACAGAATCATATTAGTCTTACATGCAAGGAAGAAAGTCGCAACCAACTTGCGTTTTTAGACATACTTCTGAGTCGAAGAGATGATTGTTCAATAAGACGATCAATTTACAGAAAGCCTACTTGGACAGGGCAATACCTTAATTTTCACAGTTTCTGTCCATTACAGTATAAGAGGAGGACTCAACGTATTTGCACGGCTGATGTAATAGACAAAGAAAATGAAATATTGATGAGTACTCTCGTTGAAAACGGATATCCTTTAAAAATTTTAAACAGGTGTAGAAGTCAATTAGTCTTTAAACCTACAAACTATACCGCCCCTAAGAAAAATGTTTTCATCAAATTACCATATAACGAAGAAATAAACAGTAGGATTTTGAGACAAAGGTTGAATTCGGTCATCCATGGAACCTATTATGCAGCCCAACTTGTAATTATCAAAAAAGCTAAAAAATATGCTCCACTGCAAACCTCAAAAGTACACAAGTGATTATGTCACATCCCATACTATTTATCAATTTTCTTGTGTGTGTGGTCATACATACATAGGGAGGAGTAATCGTGCTTTGCATGTGAGGATGAGAGAGCATATCACTCTCTTTCAATTAATTGCCCTTAATTTTTTCATATATATATCGACTTGTCAAGTAAATGTGTGATCAGATTATGCGAAATGTAAGGGCAAATACACCACATACCTTTTCAGATAATCTCCGTCCTCTAATAATACTAACTAATGTTTAATTTTTAAATCGACATTATCCACGTGGTTTTTTATTATTTTATACACAGAAAAGAAAACCAGCTGACAGAAAATAACAAAGTTCAATGTACACTAACTACTATTACATTCAAACATCCAGTTGTATAAGTGTCCTTGTTCTCAAAACTGCTTTTTTAAGAATTTAGTATTTATTTGGCAGTCTACTTCATTCAATGTGCATTTTAATTCATTTTCTGATAAATCATGGTAGTAGATAGTTCTCACTTCGCATTATTGTCTAATGTGATTTTCTTTCATGAAAAATTCCCATTCGAACATTAATAGACAGAAGACAAGTAGTTCAGCGAAGAGTCTCTTTTCGGCGAATTCATTTTCATAGCTGTACAATCGCAAATATATATGGTTGTTTTGTATGTGTGTGCACATTAAATTTGTCAAACGAAAATACAATTAGTGAGTTCAGATGAATTGGATGTTATATCAACATCCAAGTAGTAGTAACAAAAGTGATGAGTTGTCACAAACGATTGTTAAAGAAGAGTTACGTAATAACATGAATAGTTTAATGAAAGAGTTGTACTCAGGGTGTACACCTGACCACTTCTATGTGTATATATCAGTTCACCTGTTTCTGTCGAGCCAGGTACATCGGTCGTTCAACGCGTATCCTGTCAAGAAAGGTCAAAGAACACTATCCAGCGTGGCTGCAGAAAGGAAGTAATGGCTGCATAAGGAGTGCAATAATAGAACACCTCGTCAACACTGGTCATTCCATCTCAACAAACGCCTCCTGCTTCGAAGTAATCTACAAAGTGAAGAACAGCCTTCCAGAGACAATATGATTCCGTCTTCTTTGCATCGCAGAAGCCCTAGCCATTAAGCTAGAGGAACCAGAACTGTGCATACAAAAGAAAATTATTCAAGCACTTCTATTCCCATGGTAACAGCTGTGTTGATTTTACTTAACTTTTCTCTGTTTGTTGGTTCGATTTGACTTAACTTTTGTTTGTATGCTTATTTTTCTACTTAAAATCCTTGTGTAATTTCGCATATTTTGTTTCCATGTACACACTGAGTACAACTCTTTCATTAAACTATTCATGTTATTACGTAACTCTTCTTTAACAATCGTTTGTGACAACTCATCACTTTTGTTACTACTACTTGGATGTTGATATAACATCCAATTCATCTGAACTCACTAATTGTATTTTCGTTTGACAAATTTAATGTGCACACACATACAAAACAACCGTGTATATTTGCGATTGTACAGCTATGAAAATGAATTTGCCGAAAAGAGACTCTTCGCTGAACTACTTGTCTTCTGTCCATTAATGTGATTTTGTAGCAAATGAGTGTAGAACTTATCAACATGTATATTGTCTTGTAGTATTATTATCCAGAAGAGAAATATGAACAGAAATATATACAAGATACTGAAATCGATCACTGTTAAGAAGGAAACAGTTGCTTATGAAACTTCAGTATAGTAGAGACGTGGCTAATGAACTTGTGTTCACTCGCTATTAACTACTTTCCTGTCGACGAACTGTTACTCTTCAGGATAAAATTATGTTCCCTAACTGACGTTCTAAGTTAATACAGGAGGAGTAAGGCAAGGCTGCACATTACCACCGATGATATTCTTAATTGTCGCGAACTGGATCATGCGTCAGACTGTACGTAGGGTGCGAGGGGACAGTAATACTCTGTCTGCACTGACCAATAAGAAGACTCTAGAGGATCTGGATTTCGTGCGTCAATTATATACGTCTAATTTCACACAAAGTCGAATAATTGCATTCAGGCAGGTGAAAACCAACAGACTGGCAGAAGATGCGAGCAGGCGGCAATGAAAGGGCTGCAGGTGAACATAGACAATACGGAGGTTATCAAGATAACCAACAAACCAATAGCAACAATACCAACCAACACCAATCACTATCGACGGGAGAAATTTGAAAGAGGTTACCTTCTGCCATCACTTATCTGGCTAGGCAGCGTAGTCTCGACTACAGGTCACTGGATCAGAAGAAGATATCAAAGCCAACCAGATAGTCAGAATTGGAAAGGCGACATACGCTATCATCAACCTGAAATCAGTTGCGAAATCTCCTGCACTCACTCATCCAGCATAAACAACAAGATTAGGATTCTGTTCAACACAAGTATGAAGTCAGTCAGCCAGTTCTTCTATATGGATCAGAAACTTGCACTGCGCGTCAAGGAAAGCATTTCCAACAGGTTGCAGACTTTTATCAACAGCTGCCCACTTCGCTGGCTTGTTCCATAATGAAGATCAAATGGCCGGTCAGCTGGCCAGAAAGAATTAGCAAGAACAATCTCTGGCTGGCAACAAACTAACAAACGAGAATCTATTACTAAACAAATATGTAGGAGAAAATGGAGATGGACTGATTGGGCACACGCCACTGAGGAGGCCGTCGAATGACATCGTACGCAACGCAGGCTATTGTTCGAGTGGAATCCGAAGGAGAATCGGCGAGTGGGTCGACAGTGTGAGGGTGACACGGAGAAGATCATGTGAGGAGGAGGAGATGAGAGGCTATGGGCAGTCGTGAGGTCAGCATGTTGATGAGGATAACAGAAAATAGAAGAAAGTGGAGATTTGTTGCTGAAGCTCTATGCTTTGCTTGGAATCCAGAGGAATAATAGTAAAATAGCAAACTGTGCTGTTTCTTTGTGCGCTTACAATTTACACTGGTCCTGTAAAGAACGTTAAATAGGTTGCATAACTATACACGTTAGCAGATCGGTTGAGTTTGGCCGCACTGAAACCAAACTGTTTAATTTTTGGCTACTTGACACGTAATGGTCACCTAATAGAGTTGACAAATGCTTTCAAGAGAATTTATAGCATTCTATCTAAAACCTCGGAAAAGATTCCAACTCATCATTTGTAAACACCTGACGTTATAGAAATTGAAGAAAATAAACTTACTCTTCGCATTTAAAAAAAGCGTTGTAGCACCTTTATTTCTCTTTTGGTCAAAATGAACAAAACTATTATCAGAGACTTTCATTACCCTCTTAAATCTGTTTTGCCTAGAGCTTGAGTATATACCTAATTCATCCTTTGCATTATGTAACGTCTACATACCACCAAATTACCATATTTTTTTCGTTATTATTGTTTTAGGTTCGACCACGGATTGATATCAGTTAAAGAACCTTTGAAAAAAACCACGGAGTACTGAAGAGCTGTTTCGCCAGCCTAGTTTAGGACTCATCGGCAGTACGGACCCACTATCAGGGGTAGAACCCAGGGCCTTCGGGTTACAAGGCGAGCACATATACCAATAATCTGATGCTCACTAGTGACTGGCTACAGGACAAAGTCGCCTGGAGTTCTACTGAGAAGTCGTCACCATTGAGGTGTCTCTAGTTGGAAGTGAGGATGGAGTTTCCGCCGATAACATTGGCTGTTGCCAGTCGCGCTAAAGCAGATCACAAATTGGTAGAAGTTAGAATTCATGGATTGCCCACTGAGTCGATTGGGTCCCAGTGGCTGAATGGTATACGAGCTCGCCTTGTAACCGGAAGGTCCTATCCCATGCAGTGGGTGCGTACTGCCGCTTAGTCCCAAACTAGGCCGACGAAACAGCTGTCCAGCACTCCCTTGTGGTTTTCAATCCTTCTCTAACTGATAATCAATCTATGGTCCAAACTGAAACAAACAGAATCCCTACAAAATAATTCTTGAAAATTATTATTATTGGCATCTGCGTCAACTACCTCCACTTTTCAAGTGTTGGTTTACAGGGATTCTATTGATCCCGAATTGACTTCAGTTAGAGAACCACTGGAAGCCAAATAGTACTGGAGAGCTGAATTGCCCTGCAAACCAACCAAAATAATCTAGTGTTCACCAGTGACTGACTCCACGATGAATTTGCTTGAAGTCCTAGTGAGAAGTCATGAACAGAAGAGTCCACCAAGGTGGGTGTGAAGGTGAATGCTCATCGATGACATTGGTCGGTGGGCACGGTACACATAATATGAATTGCCAGAAGTTAGAAAGTGGGTGAATGATCAACGAGCTCACCACATAACTCAAAGGTATTTGGTTCGATCCCTGTTACAGTGATGGGAGCCTACTCTTGAGGGGTTTCGAACTAGGACGAAATAACAGTACTCCGTGATTTTAAGTGATTCTCTGACTGAAAGCTGGCGGTATTTCAAAACTCATGGTTACTTAAATTAAACAGAATATGAATTCTGGTGTGTGGGGGAATATTAAATTAGATTGTATTTGCATAAATTAACCTTTAGAGTGGTTTTAAGAGACGCTAGATTGTCCTCTGTTCACAAACAAATATGGGTAAATTAAGAAAGCTTGCTTCCTCTTACTCAATTCAAATATAGAAGAATAATCCGTCTTCCGAGTTCTCCCCCCACACACACACACAGACGTAGTTTGCAATTATATATTCTGTCGACTACTAAGTAAACAAAGCCCCAGAACATACCCTGAAACACTTTTTAGTCTAATGCGATAGTCGTTCATATTCTTCTCTGCATTATTCTTTCTATGAATTCATAATATCATGCTGGTAAACCACTAATCACAAGAAGGCTGAGTTCTACAGTTACACGTGTTAATCCCTCTGAAATTGAATGTAAAATAAAAGTACAAAACGTCACAAGTACATGTATCACTTCACTGAACCATTTCAAAAGGATTACCAACGCGCTAATGTACTTTAATAAAATGTTGAAATCAATAAATTTTCTCATCTTATCTATATAAAGCAAACAAAATGAAAGAGAAGAAAATTTCAATGATACAACAATATAAACTACACATCTACTCACCGAGTTTTCTCTGCACAGTTTACTAGAAGGTGAGCTGAACAAGTTGCTTGACCAGCAACATTCTCAGCTGTCATTTCATACCGACCAATATCATTTAAACATGCATCATATATAATCAGGGAATATTCATTTTCAAAATGAATTAGACGAATTCTCTCACTAGGTAGATTAAGAATCTTTCCATTAAATTTCCATTGAACCTTTAAGATTAGAAAACACAAATGAAGAAATTAGCAACAGAAACTGTAAATTCAATTCTAGGAGAATACATGCTATCCGAAATCACTGCAGTGGAGTAACTTTTTCACCAGATAGCGCGATAGATTACTTTAGAATTTTGAAATATATTTTGAAAGTACCAGCAGGTGGTTGACTCTAATTCTACCTTCAAGAATGCTACGACTGTCTGGTTAAAGGCAACAATTGGAGATGCTGAGAAAAGCAATTTAACCTTTGTTTGCAACTCACCTACTCCATATACTTGTTGAAGACTCGAAGTAGGTTGTGTCATTCGTTAGTCACATCTAAAAACACTCTGATACGGGACACGATATGTATTAATACCTATGTGACGAGCACAGAAATTCACAGAACACTCCGTATACAGTTACGCAATGATGGCTTTAGTCGTAATAAAATGAATAATGTTGTAATAAAAATAGGTGGGTGTGACTGAGGTGCTTGTGTGGAACAAGACATCTGTTTAACCGAAATCAGGTCATATTAAACATATGATATTGAAAACAGATCACTGCTTCTGAATAAGAACTTGTATATTCAAGTATTGGTTTGTAGGGATTTGGTTGATTGGTTACAGGATTTCTCTAACCAATGTCAGCTCATGATGAAATCCTGTAACCAATAGCTCGTATAATTGTCAGTTATCAAATAATATGGAGGGGGCATAAAATCGGCAATAACAGTTTCAAAGGTTAATGCAAAGTAGTTGAAAGCAAATAGTAAGGAATCAGTTAATTTGTTTTTAGAACTGAATTCTCAAAGTTACATATTATCTCTTGATTTGATTAGTAGCAATATTTTTCATATTTCTGGCATGAGTGACGAGTCATTTCTATTGCACGTGTTGGGTGTGGATTCTATGAACAAAGATTCAGTAATCAACCTCTCTCTCTCTCTCTGCACCTACTTATGTTACTCTTTGGAATTTTAACCCTCTCCCACCTTATTGTGTGGTTGTGTGTTATTGCATACAGAAGAAAGTAAACTGCACACTAGCGGCGTTTATAAAAAGCTAACGCATTCTGCTAACAAATATTTAGACTTTAATTCATCTCATCCGTTATCTGTCTGTGAAGTTAGGCTTGGTTAAGTGTCTGTTTGACAAACCGAGCACTAGCACTAAATAATACAAGAAAAGACCTAAATGATGAAATAAAACAGACAGAAGAAGAGTTGGTGTCATATAACTATCCTATAAAATTCATTAGGAAGATCAAAAAAGGTCAAAAGCAAAATGAAGAGATAACGGTGAAACAAATAATGATAACATAAATAAGACAGAACTTAAAGCATCTCCAGTTTTACCATATTTACTATCTGAGACCCTATGTAGGATTCTCAATAAAACGGGAATTAAGGTGGCGTTCACGCCTACAAACTCACTCACTCAGGTAGGACAAGCTCTGTAGATTAACGCACCTGGCTGAACCAATTAGTCAAAATAATGCAATTAACAAAATACCCTGCAATGACTGTGAGTTAGATGAACTTCATAGGTCAAACTGGTAGATCGAGAGTAGTCAGATTTTCTCTCACAACATTAGAATTCGGCTAAGGTTAGAATGATTGAACCCACGATGACAGATAAGTAATTTAGAAAAAAGAAGGTCAGCAATTGCATTGCATGCATGCATGCATTACTACACAACCACACAATAGGCTGGTGGGAGAGGGTTGAAATTCTAAGAAGTAATATGGGCAGGTGCAGAGAGAGAGGTTGATCACTAATCTTTGTTCATCTAGTCTACACCAAACACTTATACCATAAATATGAAAAATATTAATTCCAATCAAATCAAGAGATAACACATAGTGGGACCATATAAACAGAGTTGGAAAGTTGTGTGAGTAACTTGATACGATTATGAGCAGTAATAAATTGTGCTGGAAATCACCTCAGTATAAATATTACTGTATAATGCTGTGAGACTTTATCAGAATAAATTTTATCTAAAAAGAATTAAAAAATTAGGTTACTAGAAAATTTGTTCAGTTTCATGGATATTGATGTATATATTGAACTAACTAACAAAATACGGAACTCAACGAAACAACACGAAGACATAATTTACCTGAATCATGCAGTGTGTTTATTCAATACATTTGGAACATGTGGATCACACAGGTAACTATTACAGGAACTTATATGGAAATAATAAAAGTAGATTCAGTGAAAAGGCGTGTGCGTCGGTGGTTTAGCGGTTAGGGCGCCCAACGACCATGCACATGGTCCAGCATTCGATCCCCGGCCACCAACGCACTCCTTTACCTCGCTAAGCCAGAAATAATACTGGTGAAGAGGAAAGGTTGGGCATGAGGCTAGCAACCCCATCCTGTAAAATAAACACTGCTACAGAAACTTCAAGCCACTAGCTTGAAACCCTATGTTCCGCTGGGAACGTGAAGGAAAAAAAAGTCAAAAGGCCATATCGAAGGTTAAAATAACAACGGAGATCAGTAAACTAGAGAGGGGAGATAATAGTAAATCTATCCTGGTATCAAAACGAATTTTACCAGGAAAGGTTTGATGTAATGTCAAAGTGTTTCTGAACACATAAAGGTGATTTGAACCTCCTAATCACCAGGGCTTCCAAAACCCTTAGGATACGTGTCGAACACATTTTATAGATAGGTTTAAAAGAGGTGTAAACACCAACCTTATGTGTTGTGAAGTCCTTACTTGCAGAGATTCCTATATGGCATCAGAAGAAAATCGAATCCCGTTAACCCATTAATGCTGAAAACATATTGCCTGGTTCCCTGGAAATACCCATTGAGTCATGAAGAAAATAAAAGACAATTAAGCGAAGAAAATTTTCTTTATCGACGAAATCATCTTCAGAGGCTGAAATTTTTTTCTTCACGTTCCCAGTGGAACATAGGTCTTCAAGCTGGTGGCTTGAAGTTTTTGTAGCAGTGTTTATTTTACAGGATGGGGTTGCTAGCCTCATGCCCAACCTTTCCTCTTCACCAGTATTATTTCTGGCTTAGCGAGGTAAAGGAGTGCGTTGGTGGCCGGGGATCGAATGCTGGACCATGTGCATGGTCGGCGAGCGTCCTAACCGCTATGCCACCGATGCTGAGTAGTCGTATTTATATTTACCAGAAATGTACAGATTTTAAAATAAATAACATAACGCTGGAGACAATTCCTGAGCGTTTGAACACAGTTAAACCAGTAGATACTATTCCAAAACACACTTCAATTCTTTACTTGCATTTCGAACTTAAAAGGCCATTTACAATACTACGGATCAATATTTTTCTGTAAATTTTATAAATTTTCTGTCAACTGCCAGCTTTGCCAGTGTCGATACTCAAACAACATCAATTTTACATAGGCGCTGTAGATGTATAAGACAATATATATATATATATATACTTGGACACTTTGTTTTTGACACACTCACGTGAATGCAAAATGGTGATGTTTCGTGCTATGCAACATAAATAAACTAACATCTTCTGTCACCAGTTTGATAATTTATTAATTCTCTGGAATTAAGCTGTCGCTGTTCACAAGACTTCATATGAAGCTTAAATAAAAGTATTGGTTTGTTGAATAAAGTAAATGTGTTATCTATATCTAAAATATCTAATCAATGCAAAATATAAATACCTACTCCAGAATGTTCACGAGTTTTTTGAATTTTTTCTAAATGATTCGTGTAAGTGGATGCAATAGTTTATTTTTGATATTTATAAGTAAAGAGAAGTGATGACATCTAACTTCTGACTGAAAAAAGAATGAAAACAAAACACTTAGTTGCCCACTGATCCTCAGAAGCTTTAATGACAAGGTCCCGCATCTGACCACTTCTTAGTGCAGATATCAGTTCACCTGCTGCTGTGGAGCTAGCCAGGTACGTCAGTCGTTAGACGCGCATCCTGTCCAAGAGGATTGAAGAACACTATCCAGTATGGTTGCGAAAAGGTAATAGTGGGGCTATAAGGTGTGCGATAATTGAACACCTGGTTAACACTGATCATTCCATCTCAGCAAACGCCTCCTTCAAAGTAATCTACAGAGTCAAGAATAACCTACCAAAGGCAATACGGTTTCGTCTTCTTTGTATTGTTGAAGCTCTGGCCACTCAAATAGAAAAACCGGAGCTGTGCATACAAAAGAGAATTACTCAACCACTTCTACTGTCATCGTAACAACTTTGTTGATTTTGATGACTTAATTTTGTTTGTTTGCCTGTTCTTTAATTGCTTATAATTCTTTAATTGCTTGTAATTCTTGTATTCATTTAGAACTCTTACGTAATTTCGTATTCTCTACTTTGTTCCTATATGTAACCTGAGTAAAACTCAACCATCAAACTATTCATATTATTAAATAACTCCTTTTTTTAACAACTGATCATGACTACTCATCACCTTTGTTACTACCCTAATTTCATTAACACCCAATTTTCTTGGCTGATTTTGTATTACGTAACTCCAATTATCAATCTTCACCTGTTTAGTTAAAATAACCATAACCAATTGTATTTTTTGTTTGACAAACTTAATGTACACATACATGCAAAATAACATATACATTTGCGATTGTACAGCTAAGAAAATGAGTTCAAGTCTAGATAAAGTAAATGTATACACGCATACAATGGTGAAGGAGTTACGTATAAAGTTAATAATAAGGTTAACTCCAACTGTGTACGCAAATTTGCGTGTATCTGAGGGATCAGTTACAGTGGAAGAACAGAAAGAAGGGCACACCTCCGATTTTCTGAACATGTACCGAGAAGCCTGTGTCTCCAGCGGGGAACAAACGCTTACAATAGTGGCATTACCACACATTTCCCTGTTACGGGTCATGAGGTGGGAATCGCGAATTTCTTTAAAACTATCAAAGAAGCTCAATTCTCCTTAAGTTTGCTGAAGCAACCTTTGTTAAATCCATGAAACCCGATTAATGTTTTCAGGAAGAAGGAGCCACCAGTTTTTCCTTGATCTGCCTTGTAACTGTCTCCACTTTCTGTCTCTTTAATCCGGTTACGTAATCTTTGGCTTTAATCTCATCTGACCCTTTTTCATATAGTGTAATTTTCTTTGTCTTCTGTTTCTATGATTTGAGTTGAACTCAGTACATTGGCATTCAATTTATCAGTCACTCATCATCTTACGCATCTTTCGTCTTTATAACGTAACTCCTTTACCATTGTATGCATGCATACATCTTCTTTGTTTAAACTTGAACTCCGTGTCCAAGAACTATACGAGCGTAATTTTCTGAGGACTCTTTACTAAGTTCGAAACCTCCCGTCAACTGGTATCATGTAAAATTTGCAATTATGTTAAGAATTGTTATGTACATAAACTTAATAATAATGTATTCAGGCTGTAAGCAAGCAGCTGATGTGAAGCCAATGAAATAAGCTGTTATGGTACTATATTATTTTGCCCAAACCACTGTTGTTCTTGTTTTATTCAAATTCATAAAGGGAAATAAATGTTCAAAAGAATAGACACGGAACAAAGAGTACTCTTTTCGATAAATTCATCATCAGGTTCTACAATTATATATACATTATAATGAATGAATGAATTAGTCTTATGAACGACATTAATGTTTAAATAGCATCAAATCAATAATATTGATAAATTACAGCTGAACAGCATCAACATAAAATAAACTGAATGTCAGAAGAATTAGGAAAGGTAATGGTACAAATTCATGAGTTTATAGTCTCTACTGAGGGCCAGGGCAGTAGTAGGGGCTGAACTTGTTTCTTTTGGACACAGAGCGCTGGTTGTTTGAGGCGAATCACAATAGCCTCTGCTGTTTGGAGCAAGCGGTGCTTCGACGATTTTGGTAGTTTGTTAGGCACTCGGTATATTATGGAGAAGGATTCGTCTACGCTGGCTTTGTGACCGGTTTGCACCAGATGGTCTAATATCGAGCTGTTAATAGTTTTAACTACACCTTTACTTAGCCATAGTGGGATATGTTCTCGAGCACGAAAAATCAAGTTCCTAGAGCAACGGCCAACATAACTCGCTCCACAAGTGCAGTTGAATTGATAAATACAATTTGAAGTTGCCAGTCTAGGTACTTCATCTTTCAGTCGAGGTAGCACCATCGGTCTTGTAGAGAATAAGATGTGTAGTTCGCCAGCATTAAAAGTCCTTTGAACTGCTTTTCTTAATTTCTTTGTAATTAACTCACTTGGTTGATCGCCCTTGAATTTTAGTCCTATATATAGGGGCTTCTTGTTTACAGATAGTGGGTCGTCCTTTTCGGCCTTCTTTGTCATATGTTCCTTGATAAACTTGTCAGGATAACCATTTTCAATTAAAGTATCATATACTATGTTTAATTCATCTTTAATTACTTCTTCAGAGCATGTATGAATTTTGACATTCACATTTAAGTTTAAACAGTATCAGAGTAAAATGTCTTTATGTCTCTCCTGAATGCTGTAGCCTGTATCATGCACCAATGCGAGACTCTTTAGAAGTACACATCCATTACAGGTGAATGGATCAATATACATCGTTAAGAAGACTGTCATACATATCGATCTCAAGTAAATACTGTTTGAAAATGTCGCAGCAAACAAATCATGCGGACAAGATCAAACAGAAGAGAAAAAAAGACATTCTGAACAAATAAATGTAAGTTAGTGCATCCGTGACACAACGGTAGAATGATCGCCAATCACGCAGGTCGTCTGGTGTTCGACCCACGGCTGACGGACTCCTTCACCTCCCTAAGTCAGTAATTAGACTGGTAAAAAAGGGGAAGTTGGGCATGAGGCTAGCAACAACCCCATCTAGTAAAAATAAACACCACTGCTACCGATACTTCAAGCCTATAGCCTCAAGCCCTATGTCCCACTTAAAGGAATAAAAAACTGTAAGTTATGAAAACAGTAGGCATTTAAGGTACAATTTACAATTTCCCACGATATAGAGTAATGAGAATTAAACATTTTTAAAATAAATCTTTAATAAAAATTTTAATATGCTTACCACAGGTGTAGGATTCCCTTTCAACGAACATCTTAAACAAACCGTCTCTCCGCTAGTCACAGTTTTGTCTGTAAACATGGAAATGAATTCAGGTGGTTGTTCCAGCTTAGAATCATTTCTTAAAATTACTTGGTTTGATTTATTCTCCAGAGAATTCAATCGACTTTCGAAATTTCTCTCAACTGGTAGTTCTTCAACTGGTGTTTCTTGTGTAAAAACTAATGAATTGCCTGACTGTAATTGCCTAACTGATGGTTTTAAATTAATAATTGTTTCACTAGTTTTTGTTTTAATTTCTTGATTCAAATGACCATTCAACTGTTCTGTTACAAACAGTTGACAAGATTTAACTAGTAAGCCTTGTGAATTGTACCATATTAAATCCCATGTACCAGAATGCAACTTGGTCACCCTTGGAAGAGTCAGTCGATATATTCCATCTACCTGAGACACCTATAAGTTGATTATTTAAAAAAAAAGAAAATAGACGGTTAATTTAAAAAGAACCCGCATCTAAATTGAACAGATCGCTACGCACCAACCAGAGATAAAGTACATTACGCCTCAATCATATAAATATATGTATATTCCTCTAAAATTAGATTTTTTTTCATTTGAAAATAACAGTTCGCGATAAAAGTTTCACCACAGTTCCATTACAGATCACAAAACTTATTCTGTTTTCACCCTAAATGGTAAGCAAACAGCAAGCGATACAGCTTGATGATAGACACGAATGGTTTATAATAGTAGTACTTGTAGTATTAGAGAGCCGAACTATTTCAAGCCACTCAAAGAACGAATAACGCTGTCCTGTGTTGAGATGTTCTATTTGTCCTCATTTAAACCACTCTGATCTACAATCTTGAGGAAATCTATTTTCTCCTCGTTGAAATGTTAAACCTTCACACTTTATTCGTATTGTGAATATGAAGTATAAACTTTTACAGCGATGAAAAGTTTTTTTTCACTTTCTGAATATTCGCGACACAAATCCTGAAAAATTTAAGTGGTATATGTGTTACTCTCCTGTGAATCCATTCGAACGAATTCAACTGACAGCAGTTAATTCTGTCGAGTATACAATGACGCTTTGTTGATCAATTGAATGATCCTTGAGATACATGGTGTGTAAGTGTCATCTGAGAAATTGAATTCTATTTCGGGAAAACCTTAAAACGTATAGAAATTCTTTTTACACAAAGCAAGCAATTATGTGAACTTTTCTTCCCGAGCAACCCATTTATAAGAAGTATTGCTTCCTTCATAATAATAACCTACACTGTTAATTCAATGTTTAATCGTAATTATTACTATTTCTTTTAATTCCTAGGGGAACATAGGGCTTCAGCCACATTTCTCCATTGCCTTCGATTCTCTGCCAACGTTTTCACCTGGCTCCACATCTGTCAACATACCCACCTCAATGAAGCTGAAGTAGACAAGTGACTGCATTTCCAAGCTCTGTTCAATGATGATCCGTGGTGTTGCGATTTGATCGATGTATGATTTGTTCCCACTGAATCCAGCCTTTTCCAGTCGAAGTTTTTCATCCAGAGTGGCGTGTTTGATTCTCTCCAGGACGATGCGGCTTAGTATTTTGCTTGGGATAGACAGGAGCATAATGCCGCGCCGGTAATTATAACTGCTAATAGTTTAGGTCAGAATTACTGTTATGATTACTGTCAGTGTTACTGTTCACAAGTGGTGTTTGGATTTTCACAGAGTACACAGTTTCCGGAAATATCATATACATGAGAATGAACAGCCCCTAAATTTGTTGAATATTCAAGTGTTGGCTTTATTTCAAGTTACAGCGTGAAATTGCCTCAATTAGAGAAGTGCTGGAAACAGATGGGTAGTTGTCTCGTCTTAGTTTGGAACTATTCCCCAGTTAAGCCATGAATATTTATTTGATTGCACGGATGATTTCATTATGAGCTGACATCAGTTAAAGAACCACTGGAAAACCTGTCCAGTACTCCCAGGCTTTCCAGTGGTTCTCTAACCGATGTCAGCTCATGATGAAATCCTCCATGCAATCAAACAAAAATCCCTTGAAAACCAATACTTGAGAATATTTATTTGTCTATATTTTTAAATAAAAACATTTTACTTGCTAACTCACCTGGAATTCTAAATTCGTCGATGTTGTTACCATATCACCATCTTTAAGATAAAAGTAAGAAGGTGGAGGATTACCAACCACTTTACATTCTAAATGAACCATTTGACCTTCTGTAACTTCAATCATTGAAGGAAGACCATCGTTTACAATAGTCGGTGCTGATTTCTTCTCTACAGATTTACTAACTGTAAATAAAGTATTCAAATGTATTTAAACAAAATTATACAATGAGTGCATTAAAAAAACATAAATATATACATACGGGTTTATCAAATTTCTTAATTTAAGATTTACTATATTGGCTACAGATAAGGAACCTTCAAAAAGCACAAGGTGTTTCTTTCATACGATATGTTTGGATACACTTCAGCAAATATATTGTAAGGTAATCGTTTTCAGTAATTATTCAAATTTAACTGAGAAATCAATTGTCGACAGTAATCGTATGAGTTTCAATCGACTCATTAGGAATTCAATTCCCTGAAAATTCAGGGGTTCTAGTGAGAAGTCATGACCAGTAGGGTGCAGCAGGTCAGGTGTGAGGACAAATACTCGCCACTGAAGACAATGGCTAGGGGTCGCGCTATGTCATGAATTGGCAGAAGTTAGAATTCATGGACCATTGGATCGGGTCTCAGTGGCTGAACTGTATACAAGCTTGCCTTGTAACCAGAAAGTCCTGGGTTCGAACGCTGGCAGTGGGTGCGTACTGGCGATGATTCCCAAACCAGGAAGAAACATCTGTCCAGTACTCTGGTATTGGTTTTCAATGGTTCTCTAACTGATATCAATTCGTAGTCAAACTCGTAAAAGAGATTATTGTTATTATTCTTGTTATCGAAGCCTTGAATCATGTTGGTTAAGACAAATTAAAACTGTAGCTCCACTACCTTTAATAATGCAGACTGGTTAGAAAATTCCAAAAGAACCTTTTGCTCGAAAGTTAGACTTTTGAATTTCACATCTACATTACAGCACTTTCCAATAATAGTAACAATAATAATAATAAAATAATGATTAACGTAAATGTAGAATTTAGGCAATTTTTTTTTATTCCTTTACTTTACCAGTGGAAGTTAGGGCTTCAAGCCAGGGGTTTCTGTACCAGTGGCGATTTTTTTATTTTCATGGCATGGGTTTGCTTCTGGCCTCTTGCCCAACCTTCCCTCTTTACCAGTCTTATTACTGGCTTAGCGAGGTAAAGGAAAACATTGGCCAGGGGTCGAACCTCAGGTCACATTCGTGGTTGGCGAGCATTCTACCGCTGTACCGCCGACGCACATAACGTGGGCACTGTGGTAGAATGTAATTCCACATTTAATATAACACGGTGATACAGTGTTAATAACTGGATGACATTTCGACTATAATCCATTGCTCATAACCATCATATGATCAGTATGAAATAATAATTAACCAAAACAACGTAGCAGATACTGAATTCCATACAATAAAACACATGAACGCTTAAAATTGGGAGTGATAAATGTATAGTAGGCGCCCTTATAAATGACACCCATTTCCTTTAAGAAGTTATAATATTAGAAATTCGCAGAATCAAAGAAGGATGTTCATGTAGTCTATATGGAGATGCCAACATCTGCCTTTTATGCTAATGCCATACAATAAACATTAAAATATACGAAATGTTGATTCATATATATACGTCAAACTTGCACGGCCCAATAAGCTAGACAGTATGAAGATTTGCAGGGATTTAATTGGTTACAAGTTTGGTCCAGACTTTCACTAGACGGGTTTATAAGTAGTGGTGGCCTGCTTAAAATTTGAGCTACCAATACATGAGATAACTGTTCTTCAGTTATTTCCTTCGGTCTCAGAATGTACTTCTGAACATCTTACAATTGGATTTCTACTAGACATTGTGGGCTTCTTGAAGGAGACAAAGCAGATATATCATAATGGAATGGTTTGTGCTTCAGCTCAGAGACCGTCGTGTGTCACAGGATATACTACTGTCAATTAATATTTCACTTGAAGATATTGTACGAATGGAAAATATCATGCAATAAACTCCTCTGAAATTTCTGTACATTTTGTATATACTGTCCAGAATAAAGATGTTATTATTGTTTATTTATTATAGAATTAAGTCTTAATAAAAATATGCATATTTCAAAAAAGCCTCACCATCAACTTCAACCCAGCAAACAGCTTCTTCTTCTGCTACTGTTCCATTAACCATTTTCCCAGACACATCTGATACTCTGGAAACAGTCACTCCATAAAATCCCTTGTCTTGTAAATTGACAGATTTTATTTCCAACATATAAAATCCATTTTTAGGATAATTTGCCCAAGTTTGTACACCAAATGTATGATTGGATGAGGAAGAATTTTTCAACACTTGTCCATTATGCGTCCAGTGAACGAAAAACGATTCTTTACTTTGTCTTATAATACAAAATAAACGCAGCGTGTCAGCATAATTCACTCTCATATCTACTGGACCATGGATTATTACTTTCGGCTTTGTAATGCCTCCGGATAACTGGCTGACATACAAGTGCTTATCATAGTTATTACTGGACTCTTGCACAGTAGATTTATCAGACATGTGACCATTTGGAATACGCTGGTTTTCGTGATTGCTGAAAGTAGAATAAAGGGTGGAATTAATGTGTGGAATAAAATATTTAAAAACATCTGGAAATGACTTAGGCCTCATGAGCTGAAAAAACATGATGGAAAACTCAAAACAGGAAAATGGTGTCACGATGATATCTTCACCCTTCGACAGATTCTAGAATATTGGAATACTTACCGGTGTCCAACAATCGTCATATTTCTTGACCTGAAAGCGGTATTCGATTCCCTGAACCAAGAGGTACAATGGCGATGTTTAGCTGTAAAGAGATTGTCGAGAAAATACGCCGTACTGATAGACCAAGACACGCCATTCGAACTTAGGAAGCCAGCCAGATGAGAGCCTCAGAGGAGAGTTGTCATCTGACAATTGTGATGACAACCAGTGGTGTCCGTCAGGGATGCTCATTCACTATCCCCATTTCTGTTTAATTTCAAGATAGATGTAATAATGGACTTAACCATAACTGAATTCAGAGGGTTAGGGATTAACTTAATACCACCAGAGAATAATCTCGTTGACTTGGAATATGCAGATGATATAGTCCTCCCATCTGGGTGAACACGCTGACAAAAAAGAGCAGAGTCTTCTGGATGACTTTAACAGTGAGAAATCCTCAAATATTTGGCATGCGATTCGCTCCTCCTGTCAAATGTAAGATGATGCTACGGGACTGGACTGGACTGCATCGACTGACTCCTAGTTTAAAGATAGGGAGTGAAGTGTCAGGGCGTGATGATCACTCCACTTATTTAGGAAGTTGCACCAACGCCAGTGTGTTAATCAATGACAAAATCTCAGCATGAATGCCAAAGGCTCGTCTGGAATACGCAAACGTACGCCATTTCTGGCTTAGGGGATGTGATAGTCGGCTGGCTATCGAGCAAAGGACGTATGTACTGCTCAGCAACACTTCGCTCCGTCCTCCTTTATGGCTGTAGGAGAGACATGGTCATTAAAAGTGGAAGACATGAAAAGCCTGGTTGGCTAACTACCTGTCTTTGAGCATAGTTGTCTGCGTTCTATCTACCATGTTAGGTGGTGGTATAATAGGGTGAGCGATAATGAGGTTAGATATCAGTCGAGTGCTAGGTAGGTGGCAGAAGAAATCAACTGATGAGGTGGTTGTGAAGCTACTACATCGATTAAGATGGTTAGAACGTGTTACACATGCCTAACCAGCCATCGATCGCCTTCCTCGGTGACGGGCAATGCTAGCTGACTGGCATAGGATGGGCCAGGTTGGAAAGTAGACAGCTAGTGATGGTCAAACAAAGACGTAGCATGAAGCAATCAAAACAGCAACAGTTAGTTTAATCCAGCCAGTCATGTGGGGAGGTGTGAACTTCCTGACTGGTTGGGGTCCTCGAGATGGTAACAACCAATTATGGCTGAAGACAAGTAGTAATGTGGCTCGAGATCGTCGTTGTCACCGGCCGTCGAAGATGCATCCACTCTTTCTGATTTGCAATACCCAATAAAATTCTGTTGTTCTCCTATAATGCTATTCTTTTTGCTTCATATTTCTGTTTATTATCTCTATCACTTTCGAATCTCTCTTTCCTTTCTTCTCTTACTTTGTGTGTTATAAAGGTGGAGGAGTGTGGCAACTCAAACTGCTTCAAATCTGTACAGATTTCTACGTTGAAATCAGTCAGTCAGTCAGACATCTCAAACTACCTAGAAAATTTACTAACGGTCAACATCACTTGAAGTACACATGCGTATATATTTTTTTCAATCTTGTCATAAAGCTGTGCTGCTCTGGCTTACCAATAGTAAAGGCTTTTTTTAGAAAAATTAGGGTCATATATAAACATAAATCCAGTTGTAGCTTGTCTAAAAGATAGGTATCTAGGAGAATTGAAATTTCGACAATCTGGCCAGAGTTTTCAGTGTTAGCAGCGTTTCTTGACAAGACACGCAGAGGTGACCACTGAAATCAATTTCTGTATCACTGTTACCTTAATATCATTCACAGTATTTTAAAAGCTCAATTTGAACCACCCATATGTAGATCAACTTTTGTCGTAACTACATCTCATGCCGATGGCCTGTTTAAATCCATGGGCTACCTCAATTTTTTCTATCTATCAAAATGCATCGTTTTCACTTCATTACAAATTGTTTTAGTCTTCACAATGAGTTGCAATCTATACTTGCACACACAATTTCAAACAACTTTCAACCTATTGCTTGGAATTTTCTGAAGGAAATTGACAACTTAATGGAGTACCATTGAAGCACACTTTGGATAGAATAATATTGCTTCGGATGATATTTTACCAATTATTATGTTATTCGAAGACTATTTTTCATCAAAAATAGAACAACAACTACTACAAAAAGGATTAAACTACAACACTGGAGACGTTTCAAAACTGATTTATTTCAAGACTCTACATAAGGGGTAAACTCTTTGCAATGGAACTCACTGGAAATTCTATATTATGTTTAAACGCATTCTTTCAGAATAAAATGTCGTACTTGAACCTATTTAGTCTCCTGAAACAATAACGTTTCTGTTAGAGGACGGATAAAAATTCTACGTATATATTTTGTAGTCAGTCGCCCAGTGATGAGGTTGTAAACTTTAGTTGACGAAGTTGACTGATGTACACTTTATGCTTATCAACCAAATATTGGTGTTGAATATAGCAAAAATAGACCGGAACAAAAGAAAGAGTGGTAAAAGCAAGATAACGGTGTCACGTCACAAAACCGCTCAAAGAAAAACTTGATCCAGTATACATTGGAATAGTGTCTGTCAATGTAATCTTAATTCACCTTCATCGTAACCTTACTAACTTTCCTCCAGTTGTCTTAACAGTTTTCGCCTCTATCTACCACTTAGATGTTCTTATTTTACCTCGTATCAATTAATCAGTTTGATCGACAGACACTAATGGCAAGTTTTCTGTTGGTTAGTATCTATCTGCTTTCAGTCGACTAGAGTAACATTATTTGGTTGATGGATGGAGACTAGCAGTGGAATCCGGCATACATATATTCTGTCCTATTCGGAAACTATCGGTTGAAGAATGTACATACCTGTGAGTGATGACATTCCAACTGAGACTGGAAATCAGCTCAAGTGGCCCAAATGACTTAGTGGATAACGCCTTGGCTTTTTAAACAGTGAGTGCTGGGTTCGACTCTCATTGAGAACCCATTCGCTCTCACTGAGGACTGCAGGTATATGCAGATGAAAAGTATCAAATAGGACAAAATATGCCAGCTGGATTCCACTGCTAGTCATCATCCATCAGATAGTATCATATTAATCTTCAGTCATCGTAGAAGCGTCCGTACTAGAAACCGATATGTCAGCAGAGACCGAATATCTTGGTACAATGGAAAGTGCAAACGATTGACTTAAACGAACATTCTGTAATAAATTACGATTATCTAATACAATTTACAAGTTTTTTTTTCATACTAAAACTTCATTTTCTTCCATAATTTACAAATACTCGAAGACTTTCAAAAAGTAAAACTGATTTAGAAAGAATTACTTCAATGTACCGAAAAAAGTTGACTTTCAAATTGAAACAAAAGTAGTTATTTAATTCACCTGAGTACTCCATTATGAATGTTTGCCTTCTCCTTACTCTTCACTTCGACGAATATTGTCTCTAGACAAGTACCTGCCGAATTACTCAGTTCTACTGAATAGAAGCCAGTATCCTCTGGTTGAGTATTATAGATAATTAAACTGCTTTCATTTTCTGCATTATTCATCTGAATTGGAAAAGTATTAAAAAGGAAAAAGTTATTTAATTTCCACTTATTATGCATAAAGAAAGAACAAATATATTCGCATACAGGATACTACGAGCTCGTTTTACTTCGTGGTGGATTCCCCCTCTTCAAATGCGTACATCATAAATAAATCAATTATATCTTACAAAATGGTGTCTCAAACATACTTCTTTTTTCAATGATTTCAATCATTTAGTGTTAACAGAGTAACTATTTACATAGTAATCAGACAAGGGGTGGAGTAGAGTTCAGATTTCTCTCGGAAACAAGGATGGACTAGAGATAGAATACACGATAGAACAACAGAGTTAATTTCTACATATTATGATGGTGGAAACAGAATGAAAGGTGAATTGAAAAGAACATTTCCTACCGCTAGACCCATTCCACTTTACAACACAGTATGCTCGTTAACCCAGTCAAAAGTAGATAAGTATCCTGCTCTGCATGTCAACTCCAACTGCGTTCACCAATTCACCTGCCTTTACGGCAGCAAGTACATAGACTGAACAGGAAAGACGAGGGTGCCTACTAGATTCTCCGAGCATATACCTCAAAATTTCCCCTATGAAAGGCAGTAAAGTATTCTCAAGTACAATCACCAAACACCTAATTGACTGACACGGGACATACAGTGGGAATTAGTTAGGCCTTCAAAATAATCAATCAGCGCACAAAGAAAAGTATGGTCACTTCGGTTCGCGGAAGCCACTGTCATCAACAAAATACTTCGACCCAACCTGTACATACAGAAAGAGAGTGTGAGTAGTCTGTGACTATCCCGGTAACCGTTATTGTTTTGTTCGTGTGATTTTGTGTTTTGTTCTATTCCATACACAACATTCCACTCACTCATGATTTTGATTTTCACTTGCTGACTGAGTTGAACTCACTATTAAGGTTGCAAATCTACTAAATAAAATTATTTTATCTATTTTATAATTTTACTTCACTATTCACCCCACCACCACCCTCCTGAACTCTCCACCATCATATGTATAAATTCACTATGTTGTACTTTTGTGTATTCTGTCTCTAGTCCATCCTTGTTTCCAAGAGAAATCTGCACTTTCAAGTATTGGTCTTTTTGTAAGGATTTAGTTTGATTGGTTGGAGGATTGTTTTTATCATGAGCTGACATCAGTTAGAGAACCATTTGAAAACCTGCAGGGAGTACTGGACAGCTGTTTCGCCCTAGTTTCGGAATCTTCAGCAGTACGCGCCCACCGGGGTTCGAACCCGGGACTTTCTGGTTACAAGACGAGCTCGTAGACCATTATTAAGCCACTGGGATCCGATCCAATAGCCTATGAATTGTAGTTTCTACCAATTCATGACAAAACTCTACACTACACTCTTGTCTGATTACTATATACAGAAGTTACTCTTTTAACACTAAATAATTATCTACTTATATCATCTTTGAAATTATGTTGCTTATGATCTATATCTATAACTTCAAATCGTCGAGAAAGTGTGATAAGACACCATCTTGTAACATACAATTGATTTATTTAGGATGTATGTGCAGTTGAAGAGAATCCACGACGAAATAAAACGAGCTGGTATCATGCTGCAAATATGTTCGTTCTTTCTTTATTCAAACTAATAAAGGGAACTGGCTGTGTGAAATTTGTAAGCTTAAGGTAGATATGCATAGGGAGGTCTCTAATGTTTCAAATAACTTCAGGGGAATGATTCTGTTTATGGAAGAATTTATGCTCAGAATGGCAAATAAACCAAGAAAGAGTTGTGTAGAGAGTCTGAGATAAGACAAAGAGCTGTTGTTTTTGATAAGTGGCCGAAAAAACTCCATCGGTATATTGCATGAAATTTCTCTCGTTTAGTTTTTTGTTGTTTCAAATCTAATGATATATGACCTCTAATAGTGTTATTTACTCTGGAGAGTATTCAACATGTTTACAACCTGCTGATTCTCAAGTTTCTATTAAACATGAGAAAAAGCATAATCCTGGGTAGGGGTGGTCAATGTATTTTCAATACATGAGATAGCTGTTCCTGAGTTGTGTCAGTGATTCTCAGAATGCACTCCTGAACTTTTTATCATTGGCATTCAAACCAAATGTTGTACATTTCTTGAAGGAGACAAGGGAGAGATACCATAACAGATTGGTTCATGCTTCAGGTCAGATAGCCCTGTGTCGCATGATTTACTGTCAATTATTCTTTTATTTAAGATTCTGGATAAAGAGAAAATATCAGGCAATAAACTCAGTTGAAAATTCTGTACATTATATGAACAGTGTTCAGAATAAAACTGTTATTATTATAATGAATAACTCAATCGACGACTGAGGTGACTGAAGAATACATTCTTCGTGTCTACTTTCCTTTCCTTCTCGTTGAATTCCCAACTGACAAAATTATTGTTATAATATTCTCTTCTTTGAAAGTCGAGTAGTAACTTTTTTTTGCAAACATACTGATTACTGGATGATGTTTCGAATGCGCAATTTATTGTTCATTATCATGTCGTCAGTTGTAACTGCATAACTTCGAAACTTGATTTTCATAGTTCTTTCTTTCTCATTAATCGTGGAAGTAGTAGAATCTCCCAGATGTCTAGGACATTTATTGAGTCAGTTCACTGCACCTATTATCAGTTGATTCGGAAAATACACCTTCAGTTATCAATCTCTTCTTCCACCCCGTTGTATTGGACCTTAAGACTGTCATCTTATCTCATCCTATTTTATGGTTAAGTGTAGCTGCATGTAGCACTATGGCTGAGTAATTTCTAGATCTTACTTGGGTCAACTAACCCAGATTTTGCTTGCTTTTTGAGCTCCACTAATCTGACGGACTCCATCATGCATGTCGTCCTGAGAAATAATTAAACGGTAAAGTTCAACAATAGCGTCCCGAGGGATGCGAACGCCCGAGTGACCTTCAGCCGACCAATCATAAAAATAAGTGACTTTTGCACAAAAAATGACGTATATTTACAAGAAAATGCATGTAAACACATTAAACAGGTTATCTTTCTCTGACATGACTTAAAAATACGTCTCAGTTATAATGAGGAGTATCAGTTGCTAAGTTAGACCAGTTTCGGTACATGTATTCACCGAGGTGACTGAAGATGACCTGTTTTTGTAAAATCGTTTATCTCTCTCATTCAGCTGTGCAGTCTTCCCCAAGAAGCCCTCAGTTGAATTAATATGGCTTTCAGTGAGAGGATAGACGACTACTTACCAGGAAAATGTGGATAATAAAACAAATTGAAATAAATGACATCAACTCTAAATCTATCCCTAGGTGTAAACCAACCTTAATCCTGACCCTAACCCTAAACTTAACACTAACCCTAATTATACTTTTATCCTAACCGTAAACCTAACCCTAATGCTAATTATGACCCTAATCCTAAGCCTCACCCCAAAAGTTACCTTAACCCTAATCTTAACTCTAACTAGCTATTAAAACATTGTCGAAACAGTGCTTAAAAACGTGATCTGTGTGGAATTTGCTATTTAGTTGGTGAATGGCGTTGATATTTCAGCTATGATAATGATAGATGCCGTTAGCCAACGACTAGCATGCGTTCAAAGTCATGGAAGCGTTCACACTCCTGGGACGCTATCGTTGAAATTCGCCAATTAAACTATCCATGAAACGTTATACAATAAATGGCACTACTAGGTGGTAAGTGCAATTCTTCAAACTAGTTTACACATTCAACTTCAAATTATGTACTGTCTGCCAGGGATAAAAAGTACCATATAACATGTGAACTTGCTAGACTGAAAAGAAGACGTGCTTCTATTGTTTGATTTGCATGAAAATATGTGAAAAACTGAGGTATAATTCAGTGAAAACGGACTCACCTTCAGACGAGAACTGTTGACATTGATTTTTTCATCATCCTTTAGCCAGGTGACTTTAGGAATAGAATCTGACATGTAAGTGACAGTCAATACTAGACACTCATTAGTGGAGATTGGATCAGCAGATTTTTTGATTTTTCCAATGATTTTAGGTTTATTCACTATTGACTTGGAGTGTGAAGAGTTCGCTTTTGGATTGATTTTCCCAATATTGATATTTTATTGATATTGAAATAGATTGGATAAAAGGTATGAGGTTAACAAATGTTTTCGATATAAGTATTAAAGCAAAGTGAATATTAGAAGACAAACACAGTTAGCTGAACAATTTTTTATTGCTTAACAAAGTGAATCATTTAGCACTAAGCTTATTATTCTATACAAATAATTATCACACAGCGATGATGATGCAGTATTAACAACTGGATGACAAGGTTTCGAGCATAAATTATTGCCACTCATGATCAGCAATCAATTTATGCTCGACACGTTCTCACCCAGTTGTTAATACTGCATCATCATCATGACTGTGTAATATTTAAAATAAACTTATCTAATATGGAATTACATTTCAGAACAGTGCCCAAGGTGTACACTTACATTAATAGTTCATTCAGGCCTGTGTGTAGCCTCAGTCGATATAGTTCTAGACAAATTCGTAAAATATATTTTTAATATATTTTAGTAAATATACTTCATTTTTTTCTTATAAAAGCTACTGTTTCTCAGTGATCCAGTTTTTATTGTACACGTTATAAGTTTTTACTGAATACAAACGGGCAAAACTTTCCATTGACTAAGGATGACTAGCAGGGGACTCGTCCACTCGATGTACCTAAATCCTAGTGAGTGATCCTGTTCTCACTGAGATTCGAACACCAAAGCGTTCGTTACACATTTAGCCATCAAGCCAGCAGAGTCATCATTATTTTGTGCAACCCGGTGAACAAGAATTTTTCATTTGTTGTACTTCTCTTCAGCTTAACTAACCCTTAATTGCGTTTATATTTAAATGGGCAAATTTTGTCTAGGCTAAACATAATTTACTTTCTGTCGGGAGAAATGTGACCTTCCGGTGTGCATGATAAGTGAGAATTTACTTATGTTACCCACGTGATACATAAAGAATTTTGTGGAAACGCTCTGTTAAACAGAAGAAAAATTACTCCGATTTACTTGACTTTCAGATTAACAGCCTTTGACTCATCAAATGGATGTGAATGTATCATCTTCCAACACATAAGAATGAGAAGCAGTAACTCAGGTTCTCTTTTCATCTTGCGCTAATTAAGTCTGCACAAATAATCTCAAAACATACAATCGTTAGGAAAAAATAAACAGTGCACAGTCTTATAGGATGAAATTGAGAATACAGTCACAGAAATTACAATGAGATAATCTTTTTACAGAAATAATTATCAATTTATGCTGATTCATGATCAAAATGTACTACTGATAACCACTAGAAAAGGCTTCTCCCATTAGACATTCGCACTAATGAATAACGACGTTTACACCAGTTTTGCATATGTAACAGTGAATTGTTGAAGATCAAGTATATTTAGAATTTAGTTGGTGGATGGCGACTACCAGTAGAATAATCCAGGATAACGCGCATTTCGTTCTATTTGGGACTCACCAGTCAGTTGGGTGTACCTGCATTCTGCAGTGAGTGATGATGTTCCCACCGAGGCTCAAACCCAGTGCCCATAGTGTCAAATGCCAAAGCGTTGTCCACTAGACCACTTGGGCCACGAGAGCCACTGTCTCTTGTGCAACGGGTCATATTAGTTATGCAATTGAATTTTAGATTTTCCCGTCGATTGATTGAACCGAAGTGCTCGATCTCAGTTTGACATGTCGGGCTTCTTGTGCAGATGCTTCGACGATGTCTAGGCATGTAATTAGAAGTTAATTGGTGGATGGTGACTAGCAGTGGAATCCAGGTATATCCAGCCGACGAGACCCAAATAGGACGAAATGTGCATCCCGGATTCCACTGCTAGTCACTATCCACAAATTAAATTCCAATTCAATGCTCAAACATCGTCGAAGCATCTGCACAAGTAGCCAACAGACATGTCAACCTGAGACCGAGCACTTCGGTCCAATCAATCGACGAGAAAATCTTAAGTTCAATTAAATAATGAAGTATATTTGGCAAATTACACAGTGTAGTGAATAGTTCACTCGATCGAATAATGTCACTTAAGTGGAACCAAAATTCAAGCTACTAGAACCTCTACAAAATACGCCATAAAGACAATTTATTCTCATATGAAATGCATCCATGACATAAGCTGAAGGCATGTTTAATTCCCTTCAAAAAACTAAAACCTTGAGAAGCGTTTTTTAACGCATAATTTTATTCACTAAGATATCTGAAAGACAGCTTGACAGACACATTCATTTATTCACACTCTCATTAAATATTCCATCCTTCAACGAAATCCTAAAGAATGTTTCGTAGTTAAATATATTGACTGTCTGCATTACCAAAAGTTTACAAAGTCTACCAATCACTTTTTTTCAACACTGGCAGGTGGAAATACACTGTGAAAAAAACACATGCTTGCTTACATCTTATTAGCAATCTTCCATTCGTTTGAATTACACCTTCTGAAGTTGTTACTTCACAACAGTAATCACCTTCATGTACAGAAGATACATTATCAATCAGTAAAGTGATCAATCCATTGTTAAAACTTGTACTTATGTTTAATTTCTTAGCTTGTTCAATGTCCAGTAGTATTTTGTTTAAATACCAATTGATTTTTAAAGATAATTGATCCCAACAACCTGTTGTAACTAATGGTGATAGATTTGTTGTTGTTTTATTGTTGCTGATGCTGATGATATTGATGATGGAGAAGCAATGTTACGATCTATAGGACTATTATCTTTCTGACTTATAACACTGATGTTTTTGCATTCGTTCAAGGGTATAGCTTCAATCTGACATTCCAGTTTAATCTTATCACCTTCACAAACACTTGATATGTCTGGCAGGTGTTTAGAGAATTTTACAGCTTTGACTAGAGTTAATGATCCTACAAAAGAAAAAGAAAATTATTGATTGAAACAATAAACATTCAACACTTTAAAGATTTCGAATCATACAAACATTGATCTCAGGACACCAAAATATACTACTGCATACCAATCACTACAGATAACCACAAAGATGTCAAGTGACATTAACAGGCAAAACGACACCAAAATAAAACATACACGAGACAAAACCAGAGTTCACCTGCTTAACTGACAATAAGTACAGCAGTAATTACCTCTACAATTACATATATGTATGTTTATACACATAGAATATTCTAGAATAGACGTCATGAACAATTCTGATGTTTTTAAATACTATAAATTTGTTAAGATCACAATGGAATTATCACAGTTCAAGAAAGATGCATAAGTTATAATAATAAGCATAAAAATGTAATAGCAAACAGAAGATCAAATAAAATTGAGGAGATCTCTACAACAAATTGAGGATCATTAAAACTTTGATGGCTAGTCGGGTAAGAACAGTGTCTGAACCGACTTCTTTTGGATACATCATAAGTTAGGTTTCTTAATGTGAATCCTAACAGCCAGCCTCAGCAATACGTAGAAGACGAACTCATAACAAGGTAAAGTTGAGATTAGTTGTTATGCGGTAGTTGACTTTGAAAACCGTCTCGTTAACATCAATCTTGTGTTCTCTATCCACGAGATGAGATAGAATAGAGCTATGAATGGATTTCGTTTCTCCTTTACTTAACCGACCACCATGCAGAATGATGTTCGGAAATCTGACGATAAACACGCCTAATTGTATGGCCTATGCAACTAACTGGCTCACTCCACAGGAGCAGTCAAATCGGTAGATACACATAGAAGAGGCGAAATTAGGCAGTCTATCTTTAACTCCCGAAAGTTAAATAGGAGTGGTTTTGAAGACACAGTATACTTCAGCAGCCCTGAATGCTCTTTTCACCGCCGTATTCCTTAGGCGTTGTGTTAATATCTCACTGATGTTATCCCCGAGGAAGTGAAGTTGTAAGAAGAAGGCTTTTTTGGAACTGTTGGTTCTTTATTCTACCTTGACCTTTAATTCATATTTTTATCGATGAATTTTTCTGGATAATCGTTCTCACTCAGCAACTGTTTAATAATAATAATAATAATAAGCTATTCATTAAGACATTCGTGCACTATGGTCATTCCATCGATCTTACTTAGCAAATCGATGGTATTTAAAAACACCAATATTGTTAAGGACGACTATTCTAGGATATTCTTTGTAGAGTCAGAAGGGGAATTTCGAAAAGGATATTCTTTGGTCATTTTTATTCTAAATGTCTGAATGAATAAGTAAATAGTCTGTTCTTATTTTAAGTGATAGTTTTCTACAGAAATCCCAAAAAAGATTATGGAAACAGCCGAGTTTTCGATCATGTACGTGTTCAAACCATTCATTAAATTGAATTGGTTAAAAGCTATCCAAATCATATCAACAAATAACTCCATAGTACACCTTTTTACTTATTCAGAATCTTACGATTACAATATAGAAAAAGAACCACATTTAGACATTTAGAAGATAAAAGGATTAAGTGAAGAAATATTTACTGTTCAATTAGATCCTTATCTATGGCTCTATTCTAATATATGTAGCATTTTAATATAATGCCAAAAATCTACCAGTGTAGTGGTGATAAGTTTGTTAACTATGTTGTATGTGTGTGTACATTAGGATTGTCAAAAAAAATTAGTTAGGGTTATTGTTGACGTCATCAAAATGTTCCACAAAATGTGATGAATAATCAGATTGTAAAGAGGAGTGGGATGAAGATTGCTAAGTATTGACAAGGGTTGTGTAATATGAAAGACACTCAGAAAAATAGAATGTTAATGAAAGAGCATTGCGAAACGTGTCCAGAATAAATTATGTAATAGGTAGGGGGAGTAAATAAAGGTTTAGTTAAGGAAACGATGTCACTAAAATTCAATACAAAAATTCAAAAAAGCATGATTAACAAAGTCGAAGAACTTGGAATTATACCCAGGGAAGAAGGGGATGGAGAAGTTTCCTTTGTGTACATAAATCAGGGTTCTACATCCGGATCGCTAAGGCTTCGGCAATTCAAAGTATTTGGAAGCTTACCTACCGTTTTTGGTAGGCTTCTTTTACCTTTGTAGATAACTCTGAATGAATTCTCCTTATATATTGAGTGACAACCAGTGTTGAATATATGTTCAATTACAGCATCACTTATTGATCCACTGTTACCTTTTCGTAGCTACGTGATATAATGTCCTTTGACTTTATTAGATAAAATACGCATCGAAAGACGTAAAAATGTAACGACGTGAAAAAAACTTTGTCAATACATACAAATAATCACCCTCCCTCTTAGTTACTGTCTGATAATTCATCACATTTTTGAAACCCTTTAATGACGTAAACAATAACCCTAACTAATTTTTATTTGTGTTTGACAATCTTAATGTACACACACACATGAAAATAATTATATATGTATGCGATTGTACAGATGAGTGAATGAATTCACTTCTGAAATGAGACTCTTCGCTGAACTTTGCTGTTCTGGGTGTATTTTCCATGAATGAAAAAGTTTGTTAACACCACTTGGCCAATATCAACGTATCAAGAAGGGAACAATTAACCGGGGAAATAATGACGACAATTAAAGGGTAGAAATATTTGCAACCATCCGCACAGGTGGATTTCGTAATGCATAATTTTGAAAAAATAACAAGTAATTAAGAAATAAATTAGTGTCCTAATTGGTTATATAATAAACAATTAAAGATGAAGTATTAGTTTTGTAGGGATTTTATTTGATTGGTTGGAGGATGTCATCATGAGCTGACATTAGTTAGAGAACGATTGAAAAACTTGGCAGTACTGGATAGCTGTTTTGTCGGCCTAGTTTGGGACTCTTCATCAGTACGCACCCAACGAGGTTCGAACCCAGGACCTTCTGATTACAAGATGAAGCAGTCGAAAATAAAAAATAATTTAAACACTGACAACACGTGAAAGGCTTATGGGGAGGGGAAAATTGTCGGTTTTGTACTTTTTCTCTGATGTTATTACCAAGAAGGTTTATAGATAATGTCGTTGATAAAAATATTAATTTGGCACAAAGGTATGTCAGTATGGCAACAGCTGCAAAGTAGCACTTGTTCATAAAACCGTAGGTGCTTAATAATAACATCAGCGAAACAGCAACACAGTGCCTGAAGAATGCAGTTAAAAAAGAGCATTCAGTGCGGTAAAGGTACGCCATCACTTAACAACCACTCCAATTCCACGTTCGAGATATAAGGATAAACCACCTAACTTTGTCTCCTCCATGTGTATCTACTAGTTTGTCTGCTAGTTACATTGCGTGCATAATTAGACAGATTCTAATCATGATTCTTTATGGTTAAGCAAAGGGACAAACAATATTAATTCATATCTGTTTTAGAACACCTTGCGGATAGTGAGTATAAAGTTGATGTTAATAAAACATTCAACTTTATTTCTCTCACTGCGACTAATAATTACTTGCTTGGTGAGTGCTTCTGCTTGTAGCTGAAGCCGTCAGAATTCACCAGAAGAAGGCAAACCTGTGTGTTCCGAAGAAATTATTGCAACCACTTTCTCTATATCTATAGAGGTATAGATGAGAATGTTATTGAAAAGCAAATATTTCTTCGTTAAATCCTTCTGTTTTCTACACTTATGACTATTCATCACATCGAACATCACAGTTGGTAGATTTACAGAAAAGCAGTCATTATTATTATTATTATTCCCCTGCGTTCCGAGTGGAACATAGGGCTTCAATAACACATCTCCACTTTGTTCTATTTTTAGCTGGGTCCATGACTGACCAAATTCTCTCATCTCTTCCTCACACAATCTCCTCCATGTCACTCTATCACGACCCACTCGTCGCTTTTCATTTGGAATTCACTCGAGAGCTGGCATGGAGTGCGATATCATTTGGTTACCTCTTCAATGCATGCTTGATCCATCTTCACCTTCTCGTACACTCGGCTCTCGCCTGTTGGTTAGTTCCCAGTCAGAAATTCTTGTTGTTAATTCTTTCTGGCCATTTGATCTTCAGTATGGAGTGAAGGCAGCTGTTGATGAAAATCTGCAACCTGTTGGAAATCCTTTCCGTGACATGCAGCACATGTTTCTGACTCGTATAGAAGGACTCACTTGACATTAATGTTGGAAATACGAATCTTGTTCCTTATGTTGAGTGCATAAGATTTCCGAATCGGTATCAGGTTAATGAGAGCGTATCTTGACTTTCCGATTCTGACTTTGACATCCTCGTTCCTTCCGCCTGCCTGTAGTTGAAACGATGCTTCCTAGATCAGTGAAGGAGGTAACCTCTGTTAAATCTCTCCTGTTCATGGTGATTGGTGCTGGTTGCTGTTGTTGCTGTTGCGATTCGTTGGTTATCTTCATCACCTCCGTTTTCTCTGTGTTCACCTGTAGACCTGTTTTCGCTGCCTCTTCAGCCAGTTTGTTGGTTTTCGCCCGCAAGTCTTTGAGTTTATGTGACATTAAACATAAGCAATCTGCGAAATCCAGATCTTCTAGAGTCTTCTAATCGGTCGTCCAGCGTATTCCTGACTCACCCCCAACAGTCTTCCGCATAATCCAGTCCATCACAATTAAGAATATCATCGGTGATAATAGACAACCCTGTCTTACTCCTGTATGCACTTCGAACGCCTAGCTGAGTTTTCCGTTGTGCAACACCTGACACATGGCATTGTCATATAGCTAGCTGTTGAATGAGGTTGACAAAGACTTGGGCACTGCATGCTGTAGTGTTGAAGTAATTTCCAAATTGCTTCTCGGTCTACTCTGTAGAAGGCCTATTCGCAGTCGTACTTCCGTTTAATTACTTTAAAAACATCTGTTTCTTGTCTTCTCAGATAATGCTATTCTTCCAAGTAAACACTGATACCAAACCTCATCTGAATACCGTGTCTCTTAAGCGATTCGTCTAACAAAGCTCCA